GAGTGCCTCGCCCTGAAGTGCAAGTGGCGTGTTTAGTGACTGCGTGTCCAGGAGCGCGATCTTACACCATATGGGTGCGGGGTGCATATCGTAGCACGAGATGGATTTGTTTAGTACAGTCAAAAACACCTGCGCCTTCTCCTCCTCTGCGAACACGAGGACAATGTCGTCTGCATATTCCAGATCGAAAAGATCTACGTCACGCCGAAGTATTGAAAACCTTCAAGCACTCGTCTCATTATCTCACCGATCACGAAATTAAATAAGGATGAAGAGAGTCGGCACTCCTGACGTACACCACTTTGTGTACGGAGGCTTTTGGAGTGCTGTCCGTATACTTTCACACGTCCAGAAGTCTGAGAATACGAAGAACGTATTTTGTTCACAAACATCCGGAACATTACTTGATGGACACACGTGTCAAGGAGAGCAGACCGGTCAACCGATTCGAATGCGTCTTGGAAATCCAGGAATACTGAAATAGTGGGTTATATGTATGGTGTTGTTCTAGCGCCTGACGGAGTGTGAAGATTTAGTCAAGGCAACCCCAGCCAGACCGGAACCCCTCTTGCTCCTCTCGAGTCATTGTTTGACGAGCCACTATAAGGTAACGAAACACAAGTGACGCCAGCAGTCCCGTTACAACCGGGGTGAAGCTCACCCCCTATTGTTACCACGCTCAACACGAGCTGAAAATTAGCACTATCACCGACACTGAAGCTCCCCCCTATTGTTACCACGCTCAACATGAGCTGAAAATTAGCACTATCACCGACACTCCCTAGTTATCTGAGACGGTCTACTTTCCCAAGTGCAGGCAAGCAAACCAAATAACCCCTGACTGAGGACCTCATTTCCACCTTTGAAAAATGCGGGTGGGTCATCCGGACCCTGAGCTCGGTGGCGCTTGTGAGGATGTATGCAGCTACAAACTCCCGAGGCCGTAGGATAGTCACAAAGAGATTGGAATTTACCGTGGTGTGGCGGTTTGTGCACCTCGGCCACCCATTGGGCCATACTAGGGGGGTGTCCCCGCGACACTCACAGAGTCTCTCATAGCAGGTTGGTCAATGGTTAGAGGTCTGACAAACACAGTCTTCTGGTTCTCCAGGTCCGGGGTTCGAACATGTGTGGCGACATATTCCGTAAAAATGGTAATGTACTTGCATTTCCAGCGGAAAACCGCAGGGTTTCAAGCCTGTGGTTTCAAGACCTTGAATGAGGATCCTAATCGTCCTCCTATCTAGGTGTTGGCCTCCTGGAGGTATCCCAGCCACGTACAATCATGAACCGCACACACAGAAAAACTCATGGCACGTTGCCAACGCGTGGTGCTATCAGCCGGGTCCGCCTTACTTGCTGAATACAGCAACCCCAGTAATAACTCTGTCGTCACAGGCCCACCACTTACGACTGATGACTCTGTTCGTCCTGATAATAACTCTGTCGTTACAGGCCCAGCACTTACGACTGATGACTCTGTTCGTCCTGCATCAGCTTTGCAAGCAACATCTGTGCGTTATCAGGCGCCGACATCCCTAGGCATCAAGAAATCAATCTTCAAGCCTCGAATCCCAGTTAATCAGGCCGCCCTCGATGTCTGCACTCTGAAGCAAGCAGGTCAAAAGCTGCTCTTGCTCACACACTGAACTCGCTTGGCATTGATGTGTGTTGTGTATCACAACTAAGAATTCAAGATGCAAGCACGGTGGTCGGACTAACCTCCCCACCACTCTCTAATCAATTCCGGCTACTCAACTCTGGTGATCCAGAGGCTCCCTCGGCAGGAGATGCAGCGGTTGGTATTGTCCTAAGTCACCAGGCGGAAAGATCCTTGCTTGAGTGAATACTCGTTGACAGCTGCCTCTGTGAGATTCGTCTGGCAACATCTGTGAAGGATTCTCACAAAGGGAAAGTTGGTCGCTGTTTGTCACGTCTGCCTACAACCCAAATGACTGCCAATCTGACACCATCAAAGACAATTTTTATGACACTACGAATTCCCTGTTGTGGCGAGCTAAAATCTCAGATATCATTGTGGTTGCAGTGGTTCTGAATGCAGGCTTAGCACATCTGAGACTCAAGTAAAAAACATTTTGGTGACCATTGTCTGCTATGATAGTGGGTGTGCCGAATAGGACTTCGGACACCAAGGAGCTAAAGTGGGGGTGAGAACGAAAATCAGTTCTACTCTTCTACATTCTAAGGAAATCACGTTCTTCAGTCTAACCCGATGAAGTGATTGATGTGAGTCAGTCAGCAATTTAATCCGTGCGAGATGTAGGGTTTGTATGAATAACTAGCTGGATATCTTTGTCCCCACAGAATCGAGACTTGTTACTGAGATAACGCGGCCCAGAAGACCTGTTGATATTATATTCTGCTTTTTTTAGTGCTGGTATCGGTGACGTAAGGTTCGAGAAATGTGAATAATGTACTTCAAAGAAAATGTTCGTTGAGAAAGAAAAACGTCGAATTCTAACGATTCGAACAAGTGGTGGAGCAATTCTACGGTTCCAAAAATTAGCAAGCCATCCATCATCCTGCAATGTTGGGAGGCGATTGATTTGGTTTTCAAAAGCTGATGAATGTGCGGTTCAAAAACGTCAGAAAACGGAATAACGTGAAATTAGCTCACCAGTTGCATCCAGAAAGAACCATCTGAGGAGAAATGAAGATCGTACAAGGCACCGACCACGCTACCATCTGACAACACTATAGTCAACATACCTGATGAAGGAGTGAGAAAGAACACAAAGCTCAATTGCGGAAGTGGAAAGTGAAAATTCAACCAGAAAAGTTTGTTTAAAAATCCCTTCTCAGAAACCACTGAACGTGATGGTAGGAAGACATCTCACCAACGAACTTACATTGTGTAGCATCCAGGTCACAGAACTTGAGGAAAACAGACTTTCTTCCATCTACCCCAGGCATCTTGGATCTTGAGGTTGCATAGGTGTAGTCGATGTACATTGGGGAGATCGAAGATCTGTAGTGTAATGTCAAACAGCAAATGTGTATTGGGCACGAAAATAGTAGCAATGACGAAATCTAAATATCCATCCTAGGTTTCACCAACTGCGACTATTGACAACAGCAACAGACACTTCGAACCGAACTTCCTCGTTCCTCAAACAATGTACCTCAGGGTTCGTCGGGTAGGAGTCTGAAAACCCAACATATGGCAACTGTATGCAACCATGTGCGACTGCTAGGGGGGGGCGATCAACACACTAACATTAGCAAACCGAACGAAATCACAACCCATCGCATGACCGGTACAGAAAACAGCAGAGCTACTGTTTACGGATACTGATGCACACGATAAACGTCAAACAATTGAATACTGCCACATGCTCCGGTGGAACGCGCCCCCGTAGCTTAGTTGGTTAGAGCGCCGTACTTATAATGCGGAGGTCGGGAGTTCGAGCCTCCCCGGGGGCAAGTTTTCTCGTAGCTCCTCCCAGAGTGGGTGTCTGATATCCATGTACTGTTGGGCTGTGGTAGAAATGCAATCTTCACGCCTTCGCCCTGTCGTTTTCGTACGTCAGAGTATATGCCAGAGGTCTTCGGGAGGATTTTATAGGCTCGCCTCGTAGTAAATTACACATTACGACATACTACTCGCAAGTAGCTTAAAAACAGGAAGCTGTGCACTCCTGGCTGAGAGGCGACAGCGCCAAATTATCGGTGTTTGGACGCTGTTTTAGATACTGCCATAGGCCGATGGATCCGGTTAAGGCCGTAATCGTGCTTTCGTTGGTTACCTCATCCCATCAACGAACACGCAGATGAAAGCAAGTTGTGATCGCGTCAGCCGGCAGTTGAAAGCAAGTTGTGATCGCGTCAGCCGGCACGTGGTGACTCAATCGGGTCAACCAAATTGCTTTATACAGCCAGGCGAATCAGTAAAAACATGCCACTGCAGACCCCTTAAATCGGCATGTCTGTTTAGGCACAAACTGTAGCTCCCACTAATCGGGTATCAAAATCAGTCACCCCTTTTCAATCAGGAAGAGCTCAGATATAGCTGTCATAGTAGGATATTTCAATGCAAATCGGGGCCTTTCAGTTCATTGGAGGTATGTTTCGATGGATGCATAGCCTGGAGGCAAAACGTAATGATAACGGTGCGCAGTTTTACAACTTCCCACTGAGATCCAGTTGTTTGGACGTAGTGGGAACAGCCGTGCTACCTGGAGTCACTCTACTGTCGGGAGGCCTTAGAATTAAACTACTCACATAGCCATCAGACAGCGAAGATGTGGTTCCACCCGTCTCTGCCAATCACTCTGATTCAGAGGTACATATTGGCATTTAATCCCCCCAGTTAACCTAAGAAACGAGCTCTCTATCTACTAGTAGAAAAGTTGCAAGTTAAAGAGATGTGCCAAAGCTCACTCAAAAATGCTTTAGAAGCGGTCTCTTCGCAGGACACGGACCGACCAAACATGACGCCGGAAACTTACCAACAGCGTACCCGTAGATCACTGGATCTCAAAACGGTCACTATCACCCTTCGATATGAAGTACGTATCGTGTGACACTGTTAAGTGAATGGTTGTGAGCGGAACTTTTATTCACAACGTTTCGACCACAATGGTTGGTATCCGTCATAAAACAACTAACCCTAACCAAACAACGTTATTAATCGACCGAATCCAGCACTCGTGAGATCGACATTCCTAATCATTGTCTGTTTGGCACAGCCGACCTGCTGAGGGAGATGTCATCAGAATGTGCCTGTCTGATGTGAATAAATCCGAACCCCACAGCAGATGGATGCCACCACACGTCCCGATGTATGGAAATGCTCCGCGTGAGAATGACTATGGGTTCAGTGGAGCATCCTGGTGCATGTGACGACAGGCTTCTCGGATCGGTCAAGAAGACCACTGTGGTTTCCCGGTGGGGGCATGCAGCGCCATCATTGTGTAAGGCTATACCGCCAGTTGGTTACCAGAGACGAGCGGCAGCTTAGATAAGGAGGTTTGTACATGATCGGTAGTGTTCTGTTTTTGTTGAGTTGTTTGCTATAGCCCACCACTCACCGTTGAGGCCAAGAGACCAAGACAGCGACGGCAACTAACCGAACAGTGGTAAGCACAAACAGTCGTTCACGTAATTTTCTGTGTGAAATTTACACGGCATTTTTTCAGTGTTGTCTGGTAAACTCTGCCACCTTGCAATCAACTCTTCCAGAAGCATTACATTTCTTGATGGCAGCTGTGCATATCATTTGTGTTCGCTTCAATTACCTACTGGTTTCCCCCATATACTTTGTATCACAGTCCTCGCTAAGGAACTGCTTGTTCATCCGGAAGTGCGGAGCATTTCCGACGTTCTAGCTGTCCTTCCATGTTACTATTCATTTAGAACAGACCAGGATAACAAGCTAAGACAAGACTGCAGAGATTCGTTCAGAGATCCTTCCACGGTAGGCTCCCGGAAAGGTCCCTAGTACTTGCCTTGCTGCAATCTGCTCAATGACCTTCAGAGGATAATAGTTTTCCCTTGGAACTTATTTGAAACTGTTCGCTACATACAGAGGCACCACCAGGGCGAAACTTGTTTGCCCTATGCACAGGTAATCACACCACAGTCCTCCTCATGTTCATTCGGTATGCCGAATGGGAATTCAAGCGTCGGCTCGTTTGGTTTGAGATCGACGAAAACTTGGAACAGTATCCCGCTAAACTTTAGAAAGCAATGTGGCAAATAAATTGGTTACTGCTTACTTTCAGTCTCGCGTTTAACTCATTTAGCACTACAAAGATAGTCGAGGAATATCAGGGTTCTGTGCTGTTATTTTGGTTGTCCTCAGTTTGACGCAGGATGTAAGCAAAACAAAATACTTATGAGACAAAGGAAAATTCAGAAACCTTTCAGCATACAGGGTGGTTTGGCTGATTCTGAGTTCCAGAACAGTGTTTTTTTTTCTATTTTCATCCCCGCAAAATGGATAATTTACTCTACCATTCCTACGCAACTCGAGCACCGTCGCTCTTCCAAGGGTATTTCAAAACACCAAAGCCTGTTCACATTTGAAAATCCACTTTCTCCAGAGCTAGATAGAAACTGCGTAATGATATCTTCTGTAATGATTGTATCTGCAATACTTGACCATAAGGAAAGCCGTACAGTATCGATTGCGACGGCGCCTAAGGGCTGCTGAGACACGAGGCTACGTCTGGGACGGTTCCGCTCAGATTTCCAACCACTAAATGCGCACGTAAAGTGCAGTTTCTCCTTAAACAAAATAGCCCTGAACAAGTTTTGATGCAATCAATTGGAAAAGGTTTGGAACCGATTGCGAAGTCATCGTTTCAGAAGTTCTTGATAAACAATCGGTAGTTTTTATTTGTTTATCAAGAACTTCTGAAAAGTTTTGATGCACTTTTTCGCGTGTACAAGCGTCCTACGATCAGCTCTATGGAGTGGATGATTGTTGTCGCTATATGAGCTACTAAAGTCACTCTAAAGTGCATTCTTAGAATGGCATTATTATTCGTAGTATTGGCATCAGTGGAACTCAGATCTACGGTGTCGAATGAAAATGCGGCACTATCACCTTCCTCGAACAGTCAAAGCCGTACTTTTAATAAGTTATGTCACATGCATCAAATTTTCCAACCAAACCGATCTCTTCTTGGAAGTAACTCTCTTCTCAGACATTGGTTAGGGGACCAGTGCTGTATCTAATAAACTGTTTGTGACTTTATCAGTATTAGGTAGGTGAGTATACATAATTATCAACCAAACTTTAGAGTAGGCCTCCAGTTTTTTATGCTAGCGAAAACCAATGAGAACAGAAAAGTAGGCTTGAACACAGGCCCCATACAACACTGATTCCGTTCCGCTCACCTAAGGAATAATAAAGTCAGGATACTGATCCTTTCCAATAACACCTAGCAACGATGGTTAGAGGCTGTGATTATTTCAAAGATTTATGAGGTCACTCACAGGCTTCCATCATCATCATCATCAAAGACAGCAACATCAGTGTTGGCACTGATGCTTCACTGCCGTACAACCATAAGGTTCGTCTAGTTATATATA